TTTTTTTTTTTGTTTCGCAGTAAACCTTTTCTAAATGTTTTTCCTTTGCCTCTTCGCCTTTATTGAAGCAATTGTTTTGGTTACGGTTTCTGGTGGCTGATGAATGTACGCGATTCCTTATAAATTTTTTGGTAATTTTTTAACTGTTGCTGTGTCTTTTAAGTGTGATGGTTAAGAGAATTAATCTAATAAGTAAACGTTTTTCTTGTATTGTACAAAATTTAGTTTTGCATGATTCATTGTTAAAATTTATTGTTGCGTTTTTGTATTTTTGTCGCTTTTCAAGTTTTTGAAAAGAAGAGTAATAATTTAAAGATTGATAATTTTAGAAGCCAGGCTACGGTCCAACCAACGGAGGAGTATCCCATTCGGAAGAGGAAAGGCAGGATTTGTTGCGTATCAGTTTCTTTACACTACCGGCCTACGTTTCAAAGGATAAGTGATGGAAGAAGAATTGAGTGGTCAGATTTCTCTTCATGTTTTTTATTCTGCAGAATTAACGTGTTCAAAACTGTTGAGAAAAATTATCAGAAAACTATTCCATCTGGCAAACGAACGTATAACGAACGAGTTTTGAACTTAATATTTTAATGTTTATCGCTCCAAATCATGTTCATTCGTGCTGTTTTCCAGCAGAATTAGGCAGTTTTTCAAATAACACTTGCTGAAGACTGGGGGAAGACTGTTTCAAAGATGGCGGTGGAGACGGTTGGGAGAGAAAAAAACAGTGTTCCGTTTGTAAGAAATTTAGGTAGTAGAGTTGCCCAGCAGTGTTACGAACCTTGAGGTACTTTAGTTCCAGGTTGCATTATCCCTAGTTACTCTCATCCCTTTCCTACGGGACGCTTGAGCAAGCCTCTTTTCTTTTAAAATGATTTCTTCTTTGAAACGCCGCTTGGATTGAAAGGTCTTGTTATATTTATTTCCATTTCTATCCGCTAAAACTTATTAATCTTCGTAAATATTTAGGAGGTGTGCCAAAAGATGACAGTTCCCTTATTCGACCAGTTAAAAGCGTTTCGGAGGAAGCAGATGTATTTTCAGATTCAGACACACTGTATGTAATCTGGCCGTTTGATGGTTCTTGTTTTTAAAATAAAATACTCAATTGTCGTAAGTTTGTTCTTCTGATAGCAATCTAAATTTTCTTCTTCAGTACGTCAAAGCCTGCACTTTGAGCCCATACAAAACTTTTATTTGGAATTTTTAAAACACTTGTTTGCCAATTTATTTCCCGCAACGGACGAGAGTTTTGCTGTACTAGCAGTTATTACCACGTTTTTAAATCTTTTCAAATTGCGTTCAGTTTACGTAGGGATGAAGGGAGCTTGTTTTTCTATTCGAGAGTATGAGAAATAAGTCATATAGCGGTTCGTAATTGAAGTTTTTGGAATTCTATTAAAAATAACAGTGAAGGAGTACTGGCGATAATCACAGAACCGTTCTGTGATGAACTTTTGCGGTACGTCTTCATTCCAGGTGCAGTTCAGACGACGAATCTTCTTTTGATGCAGTTCCTAGCTGTAGCGTTCAGTGGCCTCAAAATTCTCTTTCCCCGCCGTGGTGCAAACGGGAATATGAAGTGTCTTTAGAGGGGCATGTTCTTTCCAGTTTTATATATGTTTTTTTTCCCTCGGCGAAGTCCAGATGGGACGTTTAAAATTTTTCAAAAATTTTTTGTTTTTTCGTTGTTCGCAATGCAGAAAATTTCACTTTTCAATATTCTATGAAACTTGGATGGTATATATGCTAGTAGTCGCTATAAATTGGTTCTTATAGTCTTCACGAGGAGTTTGTTGATTTATATGACTGGCTTAAACCGTGGCCGTTAGAACGGGTTCTTCGATTTAGCGTTTTTAATAGAATAAAGAAGGTATTGCTGAGGTTGTGGCCGGACGCAAAAATTCGCCCATTTGGTAGCCTTCACACAGGACTGTTTCTGCCAACTTCTGACATTGATGTCCTTGTAGAAGACAACACATTACCTCCCGATTATCTTGAGAGAACGGCTAAAGAACTTCGGTTAGTTATAAGTGAATATGAAGATGCCATAGACTTTTTTTGCGGTAAAGTTTATTTCAGTACTTGGTAAATCATATTCGAAAAGTTAGTTGCTTTGTAATTTCTACAGTAGCCGAGTAGGTTGTTAAAAAATTGAAGACTATATCAAGTAGTTTCTATTCATCCTGAAGGCAGCAACGAAAGAAGTGGATTTTTAAAATGTGTTGTTATTACTTATTGTGATTAATCAGTCGTTTTATTTTCAGGAGTTCTGGGATGGCAGAAAATATAGTAGTGGTGGATACTGCTTCTGTACCTATTGTTAAAATGGTTGATGCGGATACAGAAATTTTTCTTGATATATCGTTTAATACTGCACAAGGTTTAAGAGCTGCTGATTACATAAATGAGATGAGGATTTCTTATCCCCTTTTGGAACCTTTGGTATTTATACTGAAACAGTTTTTGGTTGAACGAAATTTGAACCAGGTTGGGTTTTTGAACCTCTAATGTACACTTGTTTGTTTTCAGCCAGTGTTTTACTTGTAATTCTCGTGGAAATAACGAGGATGGGAGTATGTTAGGCCATTAGTTTAATAAGTGATAAAATTATTTCTCTCGGGAGCGTCTTATGACGAGGCGGGATTGAAGAGACTCTTTTTGTAAGAGATCTTTACTTTCTTCTTGGCTATTTAAGAAGAATTCGAAGAATCGTATTTTTTCGGAACTATTCTACTTTTAATCCTTTCGGAATTATCGTTCTGAGGTTATGATAAGCGTGGAATTGGCTAACAAAATTTTCGTAAATTATTTAGAGAAAAAGAAAAAGGGTAAATATATACTAGCCTTCAAAAAACTATGATTTCAATGATTTCTCAATTTTCGTCTTGCTTCGCACTTTAGCTTGTTTTGTAGTAACATCCTATACTCTTAACAGAGAAAAAGCGTCATAGGATCCTTGTCGGAGTATCAAAATATGTTTAAATACTTTTTCACCAATTCATAGAGGACTGCCAAGTGCAGTGAAAGTTAACCACTTTGATACGATTTGCCCTCATTACCTCCTGGAGGGTTTTGACGGGTGGAGACTGCAGGACTCGTAAGCCTCCAAAATCCTCTCCCCTTTCTTTCTTCCACCGCAAGAGTGTTGAAAATGAAAAATGGCCGTTTTTATCAGGGTCTGAAGTCATTTCTGAGTAAAAGTGAACGCTAGTAATTTTCTCTAAATATTTTCTAGAGTTTTTTAGACTTTTACAGGCGGACTTTCTTCATATGGGCTCGTTTTACTAATCATCAATTTTCTCCAGGTAATCCTCTAGTCTTTAGTTTTGCAAGTTTTTTTTATCATTTCTTTTTTGCCTTGAGTTATTGCTTTAAAGGTTTCCACTTTGTAGATTGGTTCGTCTGAAGACTATAGGAAAAAGACGATGAAAGAAGTAAACATGGGTCTTGTGCTGCTTAAGTTTTTTCAGTTTTACGGTCAAGATTTTAACTATGTAAAACTTGCTATTAGAATTTCTGATGGAGGCTCTTACCCGCTTAGAGAAGAACTTCGAAGACAAATGAGTAGAGTTTCAGGATCTCTTTTATGCATAGAGGATCCGCTGCAGCCAGGTTTTTTTTAGAACATGTTTTTTACTGTATCAGATCTGATCCTTGAGATTAATTTTTATGTTATTTGATATTTCGGGAAGTTATTGTATTATTCAGTTTTGTTTGAAAGTTCCATTTCTATGATTAGTTACTCTTCATTTAGCTCTTTTTTAGAAAATGATATCGGACATTCCTCTCATAACTTCATGTGTGTTCGTCAAGCTTTTGAGCAGGCTTTGTGGATCTTGAGCAGCGTTTTTGTTTGCGCTAGTACTGGTCGTTGTAAATGGTGGAGTGGTTACAAAGGCTCGCTGCTTGCTTTCGTTTTTGTAATCTCAGAAAAACATATCAGATACCGTGAGTGGCTTCAGGGTCGTTTGTTGGCAGATAATGCTCCTGCTCGTCTATCTCCTTTGATACCACCAGAAATCACTTCGCCGTTGAACTGGTCGCAACTTTTTGCATCTGCTCCTCCTCCTATCATCCGTCGTCAGTGCTCTTACTCCTCAGCTCTCGACCTCTCTTAGGTCTTTTTCGTTCGCTTTATTAATGCGTACTTGTCTATTTCGGGAATGTTGCAGGTCTTAATAAATGCTACTATTATTTTGATTCCGCTGCGTTGCTGTTTTTATTACGAAAGAATTCTATATTTTTCTTAAGATTGCTGTCATATAGGCGGTTCTTGGTTCATTACTGTCATACGTGTATCATTGTTGTTTTTGCTCAGCTTGTTGAGTTACGAGTTGATATATATCCTTCTGTTTCCTTTTCTTACTTTTGAAGCTGAAGCACTGCCGATAAGTTTAATAGTCATTGTTATTCCGCTGGATGTTAAAAAATTATCTTCCTGATGGTTATTTCTAGTTTTATGGTGTCATGGAGTGTGTGTTCCTACATGTTTTTTGTCAGCGATTTTGGATTTATTGAGTAAACTTTATTGCTATGCAGTGTTATAGCCACTATAAATCTTCAGGGCTCATATCCTAATGGTGCTTTTATACAAGAATGTAATTAACTGTAAATTCATGTCTTTTCTGTTTTTATTCGCATGTTCGGTTTTTATTTTTTAAGCTGTTGCAGATGGAGCCGTCGAATTCAGAGTTTAGTATGCCTGTCGAGTCATGTTCAGCTTTAAGTTTACATCCTTCGAACTCTTCTCAAACAGAGATTAAAGTAGAGGTTAGTGCGAAGTGAGGGTCCTTTGGAAGAATCTGTTATTTTATTATTTTTATTCGCGGGTATACACCCATTTGTTTTCAGCACGTGAAACATAGTTGGACTGTAAAAAACTTCTCTCACTGTTACCAGGAATATCTGGAGAACTTTGTTCATTTGCATCGAGGAGAGGATACGTTAACATGGTCAATAAAAATATATCCAAAAGGTAATGGGGAGAATAACAAGGACTTTGTTTTCCTTTGCCTTAATAGGGTCGTGAACAATACAACTAGTTCTTGCACGAAGAATGGAAAAATTGGTTTTAAATCGAGGTAATTTTCTACATTTTGCGAAAGAAACCACTTTTATGCACAGTTGGTTCATGCTCAAACTGATTAATATGTTGCATTTTTAAAAATCGTCTCTTATTCTGTGGAAAAGTTGTTAGGCTCATTGGTTTTTTTCTTCCAGATTTATTTTGCGAACGCATGAAATGAAAGAAATTGAAATGCGGATACATCCCAATCCGTCTCATTCTGATTATGTTTCGTATATCAAACGTGATGTTCTTTTTCCTCAGATTTTACCCAGTGATTCAATTATTGTAAATGTTGAAATTGATGTGGCTGTTGAAACGGTGACAACGACCATTGACGATTTGGCAACCGTAGTTGACATTCGTGTATGCTCAGAATTAGAAATTATGTATTTGTTAAGAAGTTTTGCTCGTAAATATCACTTCATCTTTTTTGGTTTCTAATTATTTCAGAACGCAGGGGATCTAGCATTACGAGACGATTACATGAAGATGCTTAGGGATGGTGTTTTAACGGATTTTGTTATTAAAGTACAAGGTAAAGAAATAAAAGCTCATCGCGCGGTACTGGCGGCCCGTTCTCCAGTTTTTGCTGCTATGTTATGTACTCACGAAGATACAAATGAAGCTAAAACGGTATTTTTTAGCGAGCTGTTTAATTAAGTTTTTGGGTTTTTTTGTTTGCTATTCAAGTTCATTTAGGGTGTTGTCGTTATCGAAGACATTGATTACGACACTGTGAATGAAATGCTGAACTTTATTTACTGTGGTCGCTGCATGAAGGATTTCAGTGAATTTTCTTTCGCATCTGATTTACTAATAGCTGCTGATAAGTATGGGCTGGAGGAACTGAAGAGTAGGTGCGAAAGGGCTTTAGTACAGGTACATGTGTTCTTTCTCTTCTGATGATAAAGGTTACTAAGTCACTGAAGGTGTGGAACTAAAAAATGGGTTTATGGTTTTATCTTTTGGAACTTTTTCTAGATTCGTTGCTGTAATCAAACTAAGCTGTTAGAAACTTGCGTTTTTTGTGATGGAATTAGACTTGTAGTTTAACGGCCATTTCGCGTCATGTGCTTTATTGACGAATTTTCGTAACTATATTTGAAGTATATTGGGCTACTAATTCGGGATGGCTTATTCAAAGAATTGTAGTGGCTGCTGAATTTGTTTTTTTTAGAGCACAAGAAAGATGAATTTTTGTTAAAATGGCGACGTTTGAACTAATATAAAATTCTGAACTACTGCAAATTTACTGCATTTTGGGTGCATTTGGTGGCACTTTTCAATACATTTTAAAATAAGTATTTTATGGTTTGTTTTTCGAATAATTAATATGGAAGCACTATCACGAATTGGAAATTAGAGTTTTAAATCTAAAGCGAATAATTTTACGTGAATATTTGTTTTATAAATACCTAGAGTTATTAAGCATCTTTTTTGAAGATTTAAAAAACAGTAAACAACAGAACGAACATGCAAAGTCTTTTTTCTTTTTAACTCTTTTTCAAAGGTTTCGATCTACGAAGATAGTACTTATGCTGTGGACTGATTGGTTGCCGAGACGTGAAGGAGCTGCATGGGTTTTGAGACGAAGAATTTAGCAGTTTCACACCACTTATCGTTCTATAATCTGTTTACTTGTAAAGGAACAGTTGTGAGACTAAGTTTATATATAAAAAGACACTTGTAAAAAAAATTTAACATTAGTTCTCTCAAGTATAGGCGGTCAAGGTTTTTTTTGCTGTAGTCTTTGAAAGTTATGTAAGAATGACCAAATCAGTATTTCTTTGAAGTGTGGGAGATATGTTATCGGATGAATTAGAGCTTTTTAAAATTAGGTTACCAAAGTTGCAGTGCTCTTAGGAATGCCATTTTAAACATTTTTTATTACTTCAGTCTAACTCAGCAGCTAATACATTTTTTTGGGTAATTTCTATCAATTTCTGGATGTAGTATCAGGCTTTACTTAATTGAAGGCTTTTAAAAAATTATATTGAATTGGATAAAAGTGCATTTGATATGGGACGGCTCTCGGCATTTTGGGGTGATGGTTTTGGTTATAGAGCTTCAAGAAGATAATTTGCAGCATTGAAAGCGACATATTCGAATTTTAATCTGTGAAAAAGATGAAAATTAAGTTCATGCGGTTTTGGAAACTGCGTATTTTTTGCTTCACATTTTTCAATTCCAATTTTTTCCGCTGTTGGAGGCTAACCGTATAGTTCAGTCAGATCTGGATCTTTAAATTTGTTTCGCAAAAGTAAATTTTTGATCCTCTATACTTTAAACAGTTTATAAAGTGCAAGCTTTTTGGTAAAATTAAAACAGTGTATTGCGAAAGCTTCTCTTTACCCGCAGTTTCCTTGTCCTTATCTCTGCGATCCTGTCTGCTTCATTGATTTTTACGGCCCCTTTCAAATATTAGTAAATTTACCATGGTTGAAATAAGAAATAGCTTTGCTTGTGTTAACAGCTGCCACTTTTAACAAAATTGTACGGTATTTTATATGTAGTGTTAATAGGTGATAGGAGATATGAAGATTTGATACATTGTTATTCAACAACAAGTTTGTGAGGGACTTTCTTCTTTGTTCCTGTGGCTGGTTTATACTTGAAAATAGCAAAAGTGTTTTAAATTAAACTTAGTTTAATCGATTGTACAGTTTTGTTTTCTTTTATGAATTACGTTTCTGCTTTTAGGCTCTGTCTTACGAGAATGCATGCGATCTTCTTGTTATATCTGATGTTTATAGAGCCCAAAGATTGCGACAGCGGGCTGTTGAATATATTATACAGCATCCTCGGAATATTACTTCAACAGCTGGTTGGGATAACATTGTAAAAGCGCATCACGACTTGGTGACTGAAATCGTCCGGCATTTTGACAAGTCTGATAAATAAGCTTTGATTTGAATAGTTTCTTCTGTGTTATCGAGATGCAGAAACAATGCGCTTTTCCTGCCTCTTAGTTTAGATATAAGTAGCTTTGAATTTGAGGGTGGGTTTTACCTAAGAACGAAAATTCTTGTTTTTCCTAGTCTAGAAAATAATAGTAATTTAACAGTACTTTTACTGGTAACGACTTGTCAGTTTCATCTCAGTGCTGTTTGGGACCTTGAAGACAAACTTTTTTCATTTTGATGATTTGGCAGTTGTAAAATTCTGCTAACGATGGCGGAGTTTGTTTCGAGAGGTTGGTTCTTGTTTGAGTGCTGGGTAATCAGTAAATCCAATGTTTTTTTGGTTACTTTGGGAGGCATTTAAGCGGTAAAAACCATTATATATTAAGGTAACACTATGTCACTTTTAAGCCAGCAGTGGCACAAGGATTATTTGAAGTTGTTTCTGGTAGTTCTGCGGAAAATCAAATAGTTTTTGAGATGTTCTTCAGAAGCCTTTTAAGTTTTGACATCACATCCTCAAGCTTTAACGTTACAGGAAGTTTGTGTTACAGGAACTTCGTTAATACACATCTTGGAAAAAAATTAAGTTTTTTTGCCGCATAAAAGTAACAGGTGTCGCTCGTTAAGTTTTTGAACTAATTTGATGTGATGGTCTCAAAGATTTCACTTTACTACTTGAAAGGTGTTGAGTAATGTCTAGCAGTTTTTCTTTTAGTGTCATTAATGAGACGTGCAGGTGTGTTACTCAGTTATAGTAATATCCAAATTGTCTAAAAAAAATTTAGTTGAGATGGTTTCTAAGTAACAGTTATGACTGCTGTTTTGCGATTCTTCACTATCATGTTAGTGGGAACTGTGGGAGTGAGAATTGGATTTCTCGGGTTTTGCCGCATCTGATTTACGAAGATTTACATGTTAATTCTAAATTATCTTACGCCGTTTTGGTTGTTTTTAGCATTGTTAGACTTGCATGGAAGCTGAGAGTCCAGCATTCATTCATTATGTTCGCCTTTTTTCGTTGCTTCCTGAAAAGCTTTGGCGTTCACGGTCAAAAGATTGCCTCCTAGAATTAATGAAACTAAATCGCAAGTTTGAAATCACACTTACATGAGTTTCCACAATTGCATCCGGTTAGTTTGTACAGAATAACTTGCATTGAAGACTTAGTGCTCCGCATAATAAGCTTTTATGTTTAGCCTTTTCATCTTCCCGAAAAATTCAGTAATTTTTGGGACTGGATCTTTTTAGAAGTTTTCGGGTATCAAGTATATTTTCTTTGAAACGGTGCTTTTTTCAGTTTTGTTTTTTGAGATTCACACGAAGGTGATTTATTATTTGATGATTATTATTCGGCCCTGTGCCCCTTTAGCACTGTTCTTTCTGCGTCGTTTCCCGGAGTCAGTTCAATCATTCAAGATTTGTAATGAGCATTCTTTTTTTTAAGGTTTGTTTTGCAGTGAACGTTTAGTCTGGTAAGATCTGACCATTATTTGTGTTGGTGTAATCTGGTTAGTTTTTGCTTACTTGTCGATTGGTTACGTGTCATTTTTGATAATGCTTTACTGATGTACAGATTTCTTTCACAAAATGTGATTCACGACTCACTTAGATCAACAATCGCATAAAAGAATTTTGTGACGCGTTCTCAGTTCAGCGGACGAACCACTGGCATTCTACGTTATAGAACTCATATGTACACTTATTAGGTCTTATTTTCACTAGTTAACTGAGCAGTTCAGGTAGTTGCACTCGCTCTTTATCTGTGTCCGACTCAGCCGCATGGTAAGCGAGTGAGAGTCAAACATTTTTACGACGTTCTTTTTTGCTTTCAAGAGACTTCAGTGCCAACAGTAATCTCGACGTTCCCTGTGAAGTCTCTTGAGACGGGAAATGAATGTTGTGAAAATTATTATAGTGCAAAATTGTGACAGGCCTCTCATCTTCCAATATGCCTTTCTCAATGTTACTCTTATATCACATTTCAGTAATTACCTGGACCAGGATCTCGAAAATCGGTATAACTCAGCAGTCCTCATGTAGCAATAAACGTGACGGATGAAACGATGCCAAAAGATTCAATGATTTCTTAAAATAAGCCAGGTTAAAGTGCTCTAAATTGAACTCAACCGAACGTTTTTGTTTGTTGTTGCTATCCGGCCGTACTGCACCAAACCCTGTTGGGTTGCTAAAAGATTTTTGCCGTAAATTGGGAACAAGCACAATTACCTATCTATCAACGTGTATGTATATTTATCAACGCGTTTATTTCCGAGAAATATGGTAACACGGCCGGCTGGCAACGTGGACAAATGCTGATCTAGGTTCTCATGGGGGCGTTTTTATCAGTTTTGCTGTGGAAGGTTTTTGGTGATTTTAGTACCATTCTGCTTAGCAAAATTTTGGCAACAAGTTGCTTGCTGAAATTCAGTTGAAGTTTGGCTCCCTCGCTGACTTATTAGCCGAGATGTGTTATCGTGTTCAAGTTTTCAGATTACTAGTTTTGTTACTTCTCGAATAAAAATAACTTACTTGCACACGCACCTACCAATTTTTTTTTTTGATTTTTAGGTTCTAGGAAGTATTTATGTGAATATATAAAATTATTGCTTACGCGGCAGCAGCAGTTTTTCAAATATTGCACTATTCAGGTAAAGAATTGGGTTTACTTTAAGTTTGGTTATTTTATTCTTTCTGCATAATGTGCAGTTGAGGTTCGTTTCTTTTTTTCAGAGCAATACATTTTTTCCATATTTTTCTTAATGAAGAAGTTTATTTCAACTTCATATGCATGCAAATACACTAGAACGTTTTACAAATACTGGACTGTATACAGAGAAGTTAATTGCAAAAGTGGCCTAAGTCTCTGTAGCGGCGGTTCAGTTGCCGTGCTCCTGCTCCCCTTGTTGTCATCTTTTTGCTCTCCCCAATATTAGGTATTCTTCTAAATTCACTTACCTCATGGCTTTTCTTGTCATCTACATTACATTTTTTTCCCCACTTTTTTTGTCTTTTTTTTTTTTAATTTACAGATAGCTGGATTACAGAAGGAGAAGAATAAAAATAGCATTTACGCGCATTTTTTAGTTGCGTAAAGAAGCAAACGTATTCTTGTACTTCTTTAAACCTGAGTGAAAGAAGAACAGCTAAAACAAAAATTTGAGAAATTAGGCGCAGAATACACTTCTTTTTTCTCCTCATCATCCCTGACTGTTTTAGTTCAGTGCTCGCTACTTTTCTAGTAGTACTTTTAAAATTTCCCTTATCTACTAAGAGACTGTATCCTTTTCTCCTATTATTTCATGACCTCCATTTTCAAGAACCTCTGCTGCCACCTTTCTTTATTCTATGTTATCTTGAAATACTTTGTATACAGTTCACAGTAACCAAAGAAAAATTAAGGTACGTTGGCATTTAAGAAAGTTATCATAGTGATACTGTTAAAAAGTATATGTAAAGATTGAAATTACTTTCACATTTTGGCTAAAATCTCAGCTCAAAATAGAAATTGAACCATGAAATTATAAACACGAACATTTAAGACCTTTACAAATAGTAAACGATAGTTGGGATACCATTTACACAACTTGCCTAGAAGTTTAGCATTTTTTTACGGAGTTCACGTCGGATGTCTCACTTCGGATTGCACACTGGCATCTTATTAAAGTCGCTGTAACCTTTCCAAAATAAAGGGTATTTGCTTACAAAAAATTTCACACCAAATTTGAAGTGGATTCCCCTATATATATATGGGCCATTTCATGCTAAGCGGCACACTTTTTGTTTCACGTCTTAAATCTTTAAAAACTTTTGCTGAATAGTAAAGTCTAGGCTAATTTACAGGAGGTCGAAAAAAATTGACTTTCAAATTTCTTTTAAATTTTTAAAAAACTTTAAAAAAGTTTAACTTTTTTATTTGTTAGATTTTTTATGTCTTGAATTTTTAAATGCATGATATAGTCGCATCCATTTTTAATTATATCTCCAAGAGTACTGGCGGGAATGAAATTGTTTCAGGAATGGCTCCAGCAAACTTGGAACAGTACAACTGCGGTGTAAAGAGGTACCTCTACGTTGAGCCAGCAGACTCCGGAGAGGTATGCAAAGCTTTACAAGGTGAAACAAAGAGCTTTTCTTTAGAACTGTTCAACCTGTGTTTTTTTGGAATTTCATGCTTTTTGACCTCCATTTCGCCGAGATTTTAGCAGAAATTTGAGGGCGTGTTTGTTTTTCACGCATTACCTTTTAACTTAACTGCTTCAATAATGCAGTTAGCTGCGCTGAAACAGCTGTCAGTTTTCTTATTGTAGGATTCTACGTAGTTAAGACTTATAGAATTTGTAAAGAAAATATAGGGTCTGGACCATTACGGGGAAAATAAGCTGTCTTAAAGTGGTAGTCGGAAAAAATTTCATTGACAAATAATTAGGAAAATATTTAGAAATAGTAGCACAAAAGTAATAAACAGTGAAAAAAAGAAACGGAAGATGAAAGGGACAGCAATACTTCTGGCATTGATTATCTTTTGCATTTTTTAGGAAAGAGGATGGTTTTTTTTTCAAGCAAAATTTGGGACTACCTTTGATTTTTTGCATATACCTTATGCAGGACGGATATGGTAGTCCCCATCGACGACCGTCGACAAAAAGTGTCAAAAGTAGTCTCGAGTTTTTGCTTGGAAAAAAACCATACTTTTTCCGAAGAAATGGAAAAAAGCCAACACTGGTAGTATTGCTATCCCTCTTTCATCTTCTGCTTTTTTTTTTCACTGTTTATTACTTTTCTACTACTATTTTTAAATACTTCTTTAATTATTTTTAAATGAGATTTTTTTCGACTACCACTTTAAGACGGCTTATTTCCCTCGTAGTGGTCCAGACCCTATATTTTCTTCACACATTCTGTAATTCTTAACTACGTAGAATCCTACAATAAGAAAACTGACAGTTGTTTTAGCGCAACTAACTGAGTTATTGAAGTAATTAAGTTGAGAGGTAATGTGTAAAAAACGAGCACGCTCTCAATTTCTGCTAAAATCTCGGCAGAATGGAGGTTAAAAAGCATGAAATTTTGAAAACACCACAGGTTAAACAATTTCAAACAAAAGTCCTTTGTCACGCCTTATACACACGAGTAATGCAGAAGTTTTGCGTACCTTTCCGGAGTCTGCTGGCTTAATGTGGAGGTACCTCTTTACACCGCAGTTGTACCGCGCCAAGTTTGCTGGAGCCGTTTTGAAAACAAGTTCACTTTCCCGCCAGTATTCTTGGAAATATATTTAGAAATAAAACTCGAGTATAGAGGCGTTGTCATTCCCAATTTGTGTTAAAATTTTTTGCGAACAAAGGAGTCTTCTGGAGAAGCTTCAGCGGTTTTGGCTCAATGGCACTGCGTTATGAAGAGGAAGCCGGAGGCTATCCAAGTGACCTTTGCAAAGGTTTGCTAAATTTTTATTGTGGTTAAGCACGTGATGTGTTATCAATGCCATTTTGTTTACGGATGTTTAAACTCTTTGCATTCCAATTCCTTTTCTCTTCTGCCTATTGTCTGTTGAGATATTAGCAGAAATCTCACATTTTTGCCAAAATCTCAGCAGAATGGAGGTCAGAAAGAATGAAATTTTGAAAACACACAGGTCAAACGGTTTGAACAAAGGCTCTTTGTTACACCTCATACACACGAGTGATACAAAAAGTTCTCATATTTCTCCGGAGTCTGCTGGCTTGACGTAGAGGTACCTCTTTACACCGCGGTTGTACTGCGCCAAGTTTGCTGGGGCCGTTCCCAAAACAAGTTTATTTTCCCGTCAGTATTTTTAGAGATATAATTGAAATGAACGCAACTATAGATGGGCTATTTCTTGCCAAGTCGGAGACCTTTGAGCATCAGGCTCTCAGATTTTTTTCATTTTTTGCTAATTAATAGGGTGTAGGCCAACATAAATGAAGCCCCGAAGAAAACCTGGAAAAGTGATTACCCCGCCAAGTTACACCGCCACAAAGTTGCAAAATTTGTCAGGTTGCTGCCTGACATGCCTATATTTGGAGTTTTTCAATTTGGCCTGTTCTTAACAGACTTTTGACCCAGCAACTTCTGATGTCCTGGACTTTCAAAAGACTGTTGAATAATTCAATTTGACTAAAAATGCAGAAAGACAGAATGAAAACAACATTTCAAAGAGGAATAGAAAAAAACGTGTTTTTAAATTTTTAGAAAAAATATATTTTTGTACAATTCTTCTCTCTACAACATATCAAAATTTGGTGATAGCGACTTTTTGATATTGAAACTCACGAACCAGGAAGGAATGTGGAACTGAAAAAAGCTTACCATTTTTACAGTAATCTCATGCATTTTACAATGGCGAAGTCATCTGGAGCCGCTTCTAAAGGTCGCAGCTGGCAGCTACAAATACCCGTATACTTTAAATGTTGAAAATTTGGTATTAAAGTTGTACTATACTTTTATAATATTGACAAATTATTATTCTGCAGGGTTATAAGAGATTGTCTTTACTCCAGCCTTTTATAGTTTTTGTATGTTGTGATTCCTCAGCTCTCGAAATTGTCTTTGTTTTGTACTCGTTAAAATTTTCGTCAAGTCGACTTGTTTTTCTTTGACATTATGTGTTTCGAATCTCCATAAACTCAGAAAGTTTTGAAAAGAACTTTAGACCATTAGTTGTTACTCATTTAAACCAGTAAGTTCTTAGACTTCTTTGCGAGGCCAAAATGTCTAATAACTACATAGTTTTCACGAGATAAAACAAGAGAAGAAGGAAGTGCTGTAGTGGAGGCTATCTCTTACAACTCTGCGGAATACTAATTTGTTAATTTTATTGTAGCAAAATACAATTTTGGTAACGAATTTTCAACGTTTAAAACAAACGCGATATTTTTAGCTGCCAGCTGCGGCCTCCAGAAGCGGCTTCAGATGATTTCGCCACTGTAAAATACATGGAGTAACTGTAAAAAAAGTCGGTTTTTTCCAGTTTTACATTTCTTCCTGGATCGGAACTCTGCATCGAAAGATCATCATTTTCAAATTTTGATATGCTGCAGAGACAAGAATTGTACACAAAATTATCTTTCTAAAAATTTAAAGACACGTTTGTTTTTCTGGGTCTTTTTAAAATGTTGTTTTTGTTGTTTTTTTCTGTATTTTCAATGGAATTAAATTATTCAACATTGTTTTTTAAAGTGTAGGACATGAATACGCTGGATTAAAAATTGTTAAATTCTATCAAGAAGGGGTCAAACTAAAAAGCTCTGATGACAGGCATGTCAGGCGGCAACCTGGCAAATTTTGCAAATTTGGAGGGGTGTAACTTGGTGGAGAAGTCACTTTTCCAGGTTTTCTTTACGACTTTCTTTATGTTGGCTTAAACTCTACTGACTGGCAAGAGATGAAAAAAACTTGAGAAGGCAATGTTCAAAGGTGTGCAATTTGGCATGAAATGGCCCAAACATTTCAATTTTTTTAAAAACCTTATAGACAAAAAATAAAGTTTTAAACGTGCACAGAAAAAAGTTCCTTCAAATTTTTCACGTCAGACATATCTTGTGTAGAATTTTTTGCTTCACAAAAAACTAAGATTTGGTGTTGCATTTTTTCGGCATGAAAAGCTATGAGCAGGGATAATGTAGAATTGAAAAAATCTTACCATTTTACAGTAATCTTAAATATTTTAAAGTGACGAAGTCATTAGGAGCTGCTTTTGAAGGCCGCTAGAAAAATGCGGTATATTTTAAACGCTGAAAATTTGTTATGGAAGTTGTACTTTAATAATGTTAACGAATCATTATTCTGTAGAGTTGTAAGAAGTAGCCGTCAGTCCAGCGTTTCATGCTTTTCGTGTTTTATTCTCTCAAAGTTGTGTAAGGCTGGAGTAAAGACAATCTCTTATAACCCTGGTGTACATTTTGGAATCGCAAAGAAATCTAAAAACTTTATGCTTTTTCTGGTCAGCTGCTGATTTAAGGTTTTTCTTAACACTTTCTGTTTCTAGGGGACTACAGCACATAATTCTAAGAAATGAACAATAAGGTAGCCTTTGTTCGTTCGCGCAACGAAAATTAGCGAGTGCACTATTGACACAATTCTAAGAGCTCAGAAGACTTTCTTTGCCGATGTAACAAACATTTTATAGTGTTGTAAGACTCTTTGCCGACCCCTCGAACGAGGGTTTAAAGATTTTTGTATTCCACGCATTTTATATCTACAAAACACGTTGTTGTATAAAATGTTTGTCACATCAGCGTCTTTATTTCCTGCCCTTTATGAGTTAAATGTGCCTCATTGATCATCCTCGTTAACTATGAAATATTAGAAGTAAAAAACACTGGGATGGAGTTGTTGCAACTCTGTTGAATAATAATTTGTTGATATTTTGAAGTGAAGTATAAATTCTGGAACAATTGGTTCACGTTTACAACATACCTGATTTTTATAGCCGCTTTTTGCGGCATTCATGTGTGGCTGAACACGGTCTCGCCAGTGCAAAATAATTGGTATTACTGTAATATGTGAAATACACATGATACGCGTATCTAATACTTATAAAAGATACATTATATGTAACATTTAAATTAGAAAATGTGCGTAATATTCAGTAAGTATATTGTGTATAATAAAATATAAATTATGTATTATTCATTGCGTGAGCCATTTTTTTTTTTTTTTCTTTTTTTTTTTTTTGAAAAATGAAAAGAAATCTGAAAGGCCGACTTGAAAGAGTTGCACTCTTTTTTGCTCAGCCTCTCAGAGTTTTTTTATTTTCTTTTTTTTGGCTATTTGTAGCATTTGATACCCGACTGTGAAACTCCATAAAGCGCGGTTGCGGCAAAGTTAGACTGTTCTAAAATGCAAAAAAAGGCAATTTTATTAATTATGTTTACGCTCAAATACCATGATAAACTAGTTTCTTTCATTTACTACGGATTATGATTTTGCTTTTTGTGAAAGCTGGCCCCTTTTGAATTCCGAAAAGTGGTGGGTATGTATACTAACAAATTTTACGTGAAGGTGAAATCAAATAAAAAATTCAAAACGTTTATTCTAAAAAAAGATGTCTTAAATTTTTTTAAAAAAGATATCTCTTTTGGAAGTACAGTTTTTGTGCAAAATATTAAAGTCACAAGGTGGTGTCTTTGTAGTATTACGGTTTACAGTGCGATTAATGATAGCGGGTCGCAAAAAATCGCTGGTTAAAGCAGCATTTTGGCATTTCTGCAAGTGACTGAAAGTCTATTTCAAGCCGAACGTTATCAAGCATAGTAATGGGCACTCTTGCCGATTGACGGCTCCATTGCGCTGATTGGCTAGCTGCTTTTTGGAGGGAAAGCTGGGGAAGGGGACAGTGAAGGAGAGAGCAGCAATGATAAGGGCACGGCAGCGGCGGCGCAGCAGGGTTGAGCAAAGCGAAGCTGTACTCGTTTATTCACACGTTTATTTGTATCTTAAAACGCTCGCATGGGTGTCGTAGTGTGGTGCGGTGGTAGCGCTCCAACTTTTTGTGCTGGAGCTTCTGGTTACGGATCTGCCAACCTTACGGTGTGGTAATGCTGCTGCATTGCCTCCAATTTTAGTTGACTTTATTTGATTACATCAATTATCTTAGGATGTTTGCACGGAACATTTTCTAAAACATCTTTCAAAGATCGGGAGCCCTGTTAAGGTACTGGAGATTGACGAGACACTCTTTACTAGGAGAAAGTACAACAGAAGTAGGGTCGTAGAGAAGCAGTGGTGTTTTTGGGGCATTGAGCGAGGGACGAATAAGTGTTTCGTCGTTTCAGTAGAGCGACAAGATGCTGCTACCCTTCTGCCACTGATCGAGCAGTATGTTGTTTCAGGCACAACTATAGTGTCTGATCAATGGGCTGCATACAGTACCATCAAGGACATGTCATAGGGACATCAGCATGAGACTGTTAACCACAGTCTCCACTTTATTGATCCCGAGACCACTGCTTACACAAATAGCATTGTGTCTCTATGGCAGAAGTTCAAGGAGGGTCATAACTTGCGGTATGGGACGGAAAGGGCATTATGGAATTCGTATATTGACGAATTTGTATGGAAAAAAGTGTATAGGGACAATGTGCTCTACCACCTCTGGTCCCAAATTGCTGAACACTATCCACCGCCCTCAGGTTCCGTTCGAAAGTGCGGGCTTATTCATCGGCTCCTGATCCGTCTGCCTTATGACAGCCCAATTGGCGCTAATGCAGCTTTTCTTCCAGGTTTTCCGACCTGAGAAAGAAGTGAAGTATGAGTATTAATGTGACGTCAGTGTGGTTGTTCAGCTACATGGAAATATTCTTTATTACCCTTAACGGGAACAAACTGCCAAGCTCCTTTTGAGGTGCTGTATCACATATCACTGCACCTCACGCCACTCGATTCGGTCACGACTCCACAGAT